GACCTGTCCTCAAAGGTCAGAAGCACAAACAGCTTGCTCCTTCTCATCGCCCAAAATGATTTCCTAAGGTAATTTTTGGAGGAAAAGAAAGGCACGTGAAGATACTCAGGTACACATAAAAAGTTAAAACTGATTTATTCCGTTGTGGTATTCAGAGGAGGCAGACAACACAGAAATTCAGGGAGCTCCAAAAGAACCATGTCATCAAAACTGTGAGCAAAGGTAGCTCAGAAACACAGAGCATCAGGTGTGATCCAAGCCCTAGGACTGAAAGCCACCTGCTTTTAGCTGGTTCTAGGGCATGTATAATGCTAGTCCCAATGCGAGGTGAAGAAGAAGGGAAACATTACTACAAAAGCAGAAAGTTAACTGCGAATCAGAGACATCATTTAAAGACCTGTTTATGCAGAGAGAGCAAAAAGAGCAGTCTACAGGCAAATAAAAGGAAGGAAAAAGTTGCAGCCAGAAATACGGTGGAAAAAAGTCAGCATAGAGGATTTGTTTCAAAGTCACTGAAATCTATGGGAAGACTGCATTGTGTTTAATAGATCCATTTTCAGTGATACTCAGCTTCTACAGAAACATCACTGTGAGAAGATTTTTATCAATTTTTAAGATATAAAAAAATTAAGCAGTGCGTAGCCTTTTGTTAGGTAAATCATACCATTACATTGCTGAAATAACTAAAACAGCTTTGAAGACTGGTTGCTTCTGCTGAATGCAATGGGAGTTTTGCCATAGACTGTGAGAGGTGATGCCCTGTCCCTTGGTGCAAGCTAGGGAAAAGAATGTAAATGTGCTGGAGCAGTGTTTGTGGAACATGGTGCTGATTTTAGTGATGGCTTTTTCCATGCATCGAGCATGAGATCATGTACAGGGCTGTATTTACATGGTGATGTAATTTTACAGAAGCTGGAAAAACAAGCAGGGTATAGCATGTCCAGCATGATTGATGCCAAGCTTTTCCACAACTATGCAGTCTCCCTCCCATGTCATACATGTTGGCAGGATGAAAGTAAGAAGTGGGACAAGCCTGCCCCCAGTTTCTAGACAACCTTACGCTTTGACTGCAAAATCAACTTGTAACTCAAAAAAGCAACCTCCATTGGGCAGACAGTTTTCAAGTCAAACAGCAAATGTGCTTAACTGAATGCGTAGAAAATTACCTTTTGTTTTATGCAAATGTCCTGTGAACAAAAGAACAAACCAGGGCTGTCTAGTGGGTTTAGCAATATGGCACCATTTGTGTTGTGATCACAAAAGATGGGATACTCAAATGCAATTATTTTCCAAATAATGTTTTATGATAATGTGGTTTACAAACTGTTACACCCACTCGTCTTTTGAGGTAGAATCTTACATTTTTTTCCTTAAAAGGAATGCCATGCTGTGCCATTGAGATGTAAAGACTCGAAAAATAAATCTGTTGGCCTTGTTTACATACAGAATGCTATTAGTCATAAATAAATAAACTTAAAACAGAATTGTTTGATTAACCAGTGAAATTATACATACACATCCTGGAAAATCTGATTAAGTTTAGTCTATGGTTGGTTTCTAACTAAGCAGGCACAGATTTCTGCACGAATAACATTTAATGTCAGATCATAACTGTTGTGCCAGTTCACCTACATCCATTTTGGAGTAGTCTGAAATAAAACTGGTGCAGCTTCTGAAACTTTGCTGCTTTCAACAAAATTGTTGTAAGTTAAGCAGCTGAGTGAGTCACTAATTACAAGCAGCAGCAAATCCAACCATAAACCATGTGTGCCTTATATCTACAAATTAAGTGAACTGACAAAACAGTTTTCCTAACAGTGTTTCCAGTGACAGTAAACTTGGATGTAACAAATCAAAATAGTGACTAGGCATGCATTAAAGGGAAAGCATACAGCTGTCACCATTAGAAGAGTGCTCCGAGACACCTTTTCTCCTTCTTCTTGCATGTATCCCGGAGTACATAAAGTTCCTTGCTAATTTATATCGTGGATTGGTCTTCAAAGGACGCGTTATTTTCCTTTACTGGAAAACTGCCTGTCTCAAATAAGCCAGGAGCTGAATTTGGAGGAGCCAAACTCTCACATGCATTTATAGTGAGGCAGTTACTAAGCAGTAAAGCAGAATATTCTGCACTTAAAAGGCAAAACACCTCAAGTGATTTCTAGCAGATCTTTTAAGACATTCACATTGAAATAACACCTACTGGAACACTCATTTTAAAGCCAGGTGTACCCTGGGACTGGTGCTGGGAATGCGCATGTATCCCCTTGTCTCATGCTTTTTCTTCAGGACTGCTGTCTAACATAATGAACATATTGATAAGCTCTAGACCCAACGAATCATCAATGAAAAATACTTTATGTGACAGCTAGTAAGTTTGTCTAACTGCTTGATTCTACCACACCACAAATTATCTTCCGTCTTTCCCAACTGTGTTCAAGAGTCAGTCAGTGTGTATGCACCTCAGTCTCTTCTCGACATGCACGTGGAAGAAAATAATCTACAAAAACTTTTCCTTCCAACCATTCTCCATTCCCATACATTCTCTGCAACATCTCTTACACAGATAACCTCACATAATTAACTCACCGGCAGCCCCCATCCTCCAAAACAGGTTCATTTTCCAACCCACTGCAAGCAATCCTCTGGACAACCCCTCTACCTGGCAGGCATCCTCAGAAGCACCAAGGGACTGACTATAATCTCAGGTGAGGACGGGTTGTTTGAAGCACAGCTTTGGTCTACTTGTAAGGTAAATGCTGATGTGATGAATGGGCACTTTTCAGTTCTCGAGCTGGGCAGGTCTCTCTCCATCCCCAGATTATTTTCCTCAGTAGCGAGTGCAAAGAGAATTCCTGGTATCCTCCCAGGATCTTGGGAGCAAGTAATTAGGACATAAGTAGGACACGGAAGTTTAAAAAAGACCCAAAAACCTACACCACTAACCAAAAAAATCCCCAACAGTGCAACATAAGTTTCTTTTCCTCATCGTCTTACTGCAGCTGAGTATTGCCTGTTTCTTTCTCTACTCAGCTACGTACAGTAAGTCTGGAGTGCACACAGAGACAGACATCCCAATGCTCCGCTGCCATGCTCTCAGAGACGGAGTGGGCACTAAGTCGTCTGAGACAAGCAACACACAGAGCCAGATCTTGTGTAGTGGAACAAATAAAGCACTTTCTGCTTTCTAAACCTGAACTACAATTGATTTCTTCAAGAACACTGTAAAACCCGGGACAAATTCTGAGCAACAAGCAACTGAAATGCTCCAATTTTGTAGAAAAAAAACCCACAGTGTCTTTAGACAACAAGAATTCATTAAATTCTTACATGAATGCACACATAAATTCGGAAAACCCCAAAGGCTGGGAATGAACACAGGAGGAAGCCGTGCCTCAAAGTACGTTCTTCTGAGCGCTCTAGTACCTGTGCGCATCTTGCAAAGAGAGGCCTTATCTACCTCCTCAACGTGTCGGCTATCAACTCCTCTATGTGCAACATTACACAAAAAACTTGTTCCTTAATTGGCATTTTCTCAGAGAAAAAGGTAGGACTTGAACTTCAGTTTGAGATGCTGGTAAACATTGGTATAAACAATTGAAAAAAATATGAAATATTTTCTGTTCGTGACTTTTATTATAAATACATAGATTAAATATTAACATAGAAAAATGAGACATCACTAGTTAGGCCTTTAAAAGGCTGAGTGTCCTAAACCAGCCCAAAAAGTCCACTTTACACAGTATCCTCTGAGTTGGCAATCTCTGTAGAACCACTTTCGTAGTAATTGAAGCCTCCAAAACACTGGGATATTCCCTGTCCTCTCTTTCAAAGAGACCAGCCTTCTGCATAAGGAAGCAGTTCCTCTGCACTTTTGTTTACTGCAGGTTCAGCCACAATGAATAAACAAGATCCATGTATTCAAGTAAAGACACTCCAAGAATATCAGCTCAGTCCAGTTCCTCTTTTCATTTTACCCAACAGGCCACGCTCATCCCAAGTGTTGTAATGGCCAGAAGTTAAGTCAAGATCCTCTGGGCCTACTGGGAGCTTTACAAAGAGTATCAGTTAAGAGCTAGAACTGCTGTTTGTTCTGAGTAACATGCAAAAACTTTTTCAGTTCATTTATAAAAACTGATCAAAAAGCAGAACATGTAAGAGCCTGGGAAAATCCTTTTGTCTGCCCATTTTCAAAATACTAAATTTCAACAACAAAAACACGGATAGTTGAAGGTTTAGAAGCTTCAACTATCAGCCGATTAAAAAAAAAAAAGAATAAATCTGAGATTCGATTTTTTTCTTGACCCTTACTCGAAGTCCAAAAAGTTAAAATAGAGAGGCTCTGAGCTCTATGCTTAAACACAATGTGCTTTCCTGTTAGTGTTTTCTCTGCTCCCCACTGTTCCTCTCCCTTCCAGCAGTGAGTGCTCTCACTGCCACTCTAGTTCGTGTCAGATGTTTGAAAGGGAGCCAAGTCATAAAAAAGAGAGAATTATTCAGCATCTATATGAGCATACGTATTTCTACAGTCCAGACGGCCAATAGTAAATGTGTAAACAGTGAATTTAATGGAATGTATGTATTTTTTAAATCCAGTAGTTAAAGTAGTGAAAAGAGGTCTGTGCTTTTAGATGCATATATTATCAATTACATACATGGCATTTTCCTGCTTCAACAATAACTATGAATAAACTCCGGAAAACATGGGGACTAATAGAAAAAATAATCTTAGGATTTTGTAGGAAAAATATAATTTCCAATAAAAATATGGTAATTTCTTCTTGCTAGAAAAAAGTAACAAAAATATACTCCCACACATAATTTTTCAGCATCTTAGACATGTAACAAATACTTCTGCAGTAGTAGCCCACCTTCTTAAACAAAGTCTGAGTCCCTTACTGTGCTGCATTTTAATTAATATCAAAAAGCACTTATGTCAGTAAATATTTGCTTACTCCTTTGTACATGTTAGTCTGGCTTTTAGCAACGCAAGAAAAATCAGTCCTGAGTTCCATCTCCAGTCTTCAAGATGGACCAATGCTGTACCATTTAACCACAACTTTTTCAGGGTTGGCAATAGTATCTTTCCACTGCTCCACTGCTTCACTGTTACTGCTATCAGAACTTATCCAGATCTGCCATAAGAAACAGAAAAAAAAAAAATAAAAATTGAGTTTACCTGATATAACGCAGAGGCCCAGCCTTTATTAGTTCCAAATGAATACCATGGAAGTGTAGAAGGAAATACAACACGTAGACTACAACCAAAGCATCATAGCAACAAATACAGTTCTGTTGAGACTAACATATTTTGGCTTTCAGCTGTGAACACGGGGAGTCTGGGTTTAAATTTAGCCTCTTTGTAAACAGTTTAGAGAACTCACTCCATACTAATGTTTCTCTACTTAATAAGATGTTTTAAGTCAAGCATTCCTTGCTCTGTTCAAATGCACGTGCTGGGGTCAAGGGCTCATCAGGGCCAGTGATGGCTCTATGCATTCAAACTCCAGTTGGCTGCAAGCCATCCAGCATCTCGAGCTAGCTGTCCAGCATTTTCATCAGCATGTAAAATTGCACGCTCCAACAGATGGGGTGAAACCTGCATTCCACAGAGGTTACTAACATGCCCGTACCACACACAGTCAGGCAGTAAGAGTCCGCTTCTTCTCAGTATTCAATTAGTGGATAGTGGCCATTGAACGAGGAAATGAGGTACAGGTAGGAAGTTTTCCTCCTGAACATTATCACCAGCCTCCATTGCCAAAAGAATTCTGCTTATGTAAGGAGGTATCATTATTTACAGGACTCTATTTCCTTAATTCTTCCACGAATGAGTCCTTTTAAGACTTCTCAGAAACCTTCACCATGAAGTACATTTAGTCTACTCTGCTGAGGCATGAGTACTCAAGAAGTGAGAATAATGTCTTCCAGAATACCACAGACAGCTGACGTTTCATCCACAGAGATTCAATATACATCTTGCTCATGATTAAAGACATGCCTGTAAAAGCAGCCTAATCTAAGTATTGTCTCCTTAGAGCAGTATCCAATTAAACATCATTCACTGAAGAACAAAGTTAATAGATCCAGCTATAATCATCTTTTTCCAGCTACCCAGCCAATTGCTCAAAGTACATTTTTCCCTGAGCCATATTTTATGTCTTCATGTGTTCTGTGGCAATGACTGCCTGCATGAGCCGAAACAACCGTTTCCAAATAACCTCTGAGGAGCAGAAGCAGCTCATTTCCTCTCCCTAAAAATAAGATCCATGATTAAATGAAACTCATCAGATTGAGATGACCTCACATATTGCTAAGTGAATGCAAAATCATACCCAGCTTTTTTTGCCCCAGGGTAGCACAACTAAACAGAACAAATTCAATTCCACCAAGAGGAATCACAGAAAGATGGAATACACATGACATGAGGCTCCATAAAATGGAGGAAGGTCACGTAAGTCTTGCTATCACATCAATTTCTATAGCACATCAGCATCTTCTGTAACTGCACATCTTCAGCAGGCACAAAAGATCATCACCAGAATGGGACAGTACCATCTTCTGTACATAAAGATAGTGCAGTCTTTTATCTGACAACTGACATTACAGTTGGGGTAATTATATTCTTTATTTTATTTTATTTATTTTTTATTTATTAAATTTTATTATTTTATTTATTATTTGTATTTATTATTTTTATTTTATTTATTAGTATTCATTTATGCATGTATTAAAATACTCCTACTAACTCTAGCTGGGTCAGGGAAAGCACTGAGCATTAAGAATGGCTACGCCTCACTATACCATGAAGAAAAGGAGAGGAAGAAGGGACGGGATCATGGTAAATTAGAACGGCCAGGGGAAGAGGACAGAGAGAATAAAAAGAGACCAGACTAGCAAGTTTTATGATGGTTAAATAAATATGATCACCCAAAGGCTTTCAAAGAGATACTACAGAAGATCCAGATGTAAAATTTCTTTTTTTTTAAAAAAAAGAGCGCTCAACTAAAAAATTCTGTGTTTGTTCACCTATGTTATCATACTTGATCATACATATTTAGAATATTGTGCTGATTTCAGCATTGCTTTACCCAGGAAAGCCACCTGATACTGTAGCTGTTGCTACTTCCTTTTACACACACCTGTCCGTAAGTGTATTGGTATGGTAAGCCAACACACTCCCTTTCTGTAAGCCAACACACTCCCTTTCTGCACAGTACATTGCAGGTTGTGGAGCTCCTGTGAGTGCTCTGTTTGTTCTCTTCAGAAAGCCTAAAGGCAAGGAGAAGATCATATGTCTGTCTGTAGGAAAGAATCTTTCACATAGTAATATTCCATAAAAAAATGACTCAAGGACTTCTTTTCAAAAGATAAATCAAACGTCAACTCCCATTCTGATGTTAGTGCATGTTTAAGAGCCCAGCAGTATTCTTTCTTGGGTTGTAGCCAGGAGAGTTTATTAGAAGTTACTGTTTTGCTATATGCCACCTTATTTAAAGTATGTTAAAACTCATACCAAGAAACCTGTGGAACTGGATTTTAAGTAAAGGATATCATGCTAGTTAGCAGAAACCAACCTGTCCAAGGAAATGTTTTCTTCTCACTGAGCTTCTGCTGTAGAGCTTGATGAGAAAGCTAATTCCTTGTTCAGCTTGGCTAACTGGAAAAATCATCATTTCTCCCCACTTCACTTGGCCATTATTGGACTTCAGAAGACGAGTCTTCTTCTTATACATCAGTCCTTCTGTACTAAACATTCCAACTTTCACAAAGAAATCTAGCACAAAAGGGAGGGAAAAAGGCATAGCACACAAAGGGTTACTCACAAACCCAACCAATAAGGAACTGACAAGATCCACATGTGTGGTTCAAATTGCAACAATTTCCCAAAAGTCTGGCCAAAAGAACTGTACAATAACTTTCCTGACTAGTCACACAAACAGAGTATGTTCAATAATATTGAATTGATTAACACAGTACCCAAACAGCAAGTGCAAGCTAATGCTCTTGTATGTCAGGATTAATATTAGTATAAAAATCTTCCAAAATACATAAACACATAGCTTCAAACCAAACAAAAAGTAATCAAGTAAGACATCTGTGGAAACAAGCCTTGGCAATGGATATCTACTGCACAATATGTTAGTCTGAGGTCTGTAAGGAATGTTATGAACTGCCAACCCATTTGAGCAGCAATTTACCTGTTACAAGTGCTTTTAGACAGGAGGCATGAGACAGCTGATGTAACTTACTTGAAGACAGCGGTGTAGATGAAACTGGAAGGTTTTGTGCTTCAAGAATCTGTAACTGAATCCTCCTGTTTATTGCTTGAAAACAAGTTCCTACTTGAAGTTCTGCGTGGCACACCTACAAGCAGAAGAATGTTGCCGTAACATCTGGATTGATTAAGTTGCTTATAAACTCAGGAAACACAGGAATTCTGCCATATGCTGGGCTCCCACATTTCTAGCTGGGATTTCCTGGACAGAAACATAAGCATGTGTTGCATACACAACCTGCATATGCACAGTAAATGCATCTTGCACTTGTTATAGCTGCAGAACATAGCAGCAGCTCCACTGATGGACTGCTTATGTGCAGCGCACATGTGGGCCTTGTTGGCTGCAGCCTGAGACACTGGACAAATGAACAAGCTCTCAGTTTTCACCTGGGAAAGATTCCTCAATGGTAAGAGCAGACATGCAGTCGTAGCTCTACTAGACCTGGGTGTTGAAGTGAGACACCAGATATGCTCCACTAACACAAAAACCTTACGAGTTCTCCACCCACACTTTCGAATTTTGCAGTATGGAGATATAAGCAATGCTTTTCATAGATACAAGGTCCCATCACTTAACGTCATGAATGTTTAGGGTGACTCCATGCTGTGGAGTTTCCTATGTTACGGAATTACTTGTGTTTATGTGCCTACACACATACACACACACATCCCTACTCTGAATGTGACGAGATCTCCAGTCTGAATTTTTTTAGAATTTTTGCTAGTGGCAAAGTTGCACTGACGCATTCTCTTTACTCTCCTGTCAGATGCTAACGTTCTATGACCACTGTGAGAACAGCCAGTGGAGACCTAGCTTTCCTGACAGCCTCCATTTAAAAGGACTTTGCTAGTCCTGGTTCCCTTCAAGTTTTAACACACTCCAGTGAAGCAAAACGCACCAAGCAAGATAGCAACAGGTCAGACAAAGAGAAGTCCAGCTCCAGTTCACTGAAGAGACCCAAATTATCTTTGCAGCTCAGCCACAAAACTTCTGTGTAACCCTCCGAGGAAGCCACTTACTCAGCTCTGAGCTTTGGCTCTCTATTGGCAAATAAGGGTAGTGCGCTGCCTCACAGGGCAGTAAAGGGATACATTCCAGCAGTGTCTGGAGGGCTCTCAGATATAATGATGAGGAAAGTCAATACAGAGAGAGAAACTATGAGATGATTCAGGAATTTGCAGTGGGATGAAGCAGTTTCTAAACCAGCTTCATCTTTCACTTAATCTTACTGCTTTTGAAGCAATATGGTTACTCTTGTTAGAACTAAAAAACATCAAGTGTTAGAAATCAAGAGTTATATCACTCATATTATTCAGACACACTTAAATAAAATTTGCTTTTGAATTCCTAATTCAAGTTTAATTTGTTGAAAATACAAACGTCTAGACACAATCTGTAAAAGAAACAAACAAAGTGAGGGTAGGGGGAAAGGAAATCCCACTGTGAAAACCACCTGCTTCTTATTACACTAACGGAAATGAACTGTCTTAAGTATTACTTCACAGCATGCAATCTGAACATTAAATATAAAGCTATCTCTGCAGTTTCAAGCCACTGAAGATATTAGCACTTTTTTTCCATAACGAAAGCAGATTCCATTTGCTCTCAGTTTTTGCTGTGAATCCTAGGGATCTTCTGATGCTTTTTTGGTCGGAAAAGGCAATTACCCGGTGTCCTTTGCTGAATGCTTCCCCAGAATGCCCCTCCCTCAAGCTGTGGGCCATGGTGTGGAAGAGCTTGCTCTAGCTCCTTTCCCAGAAACGGCTGCAGTTTATGACCAGAACAGCTATGTGCAGAGTTCAAAAGTCTGCCTTTTTTCCCCATCAAAATGCATCTCTTCAGCAAAGTGGAAAAAAAAACAAACCCAACAACAAAAAAAGACCCCACTCTGTTTGTTGTTAACTTTGAATTAGTACTGAATTATCTTACTTTCATTTACAGCAACTCTTTCTAGGTGATATTACAGCATACTTTTTCAGTATTGGCACTTACAGGTGCTTTGGAAGGAGGAGAGATATCCAGCCAATGACTTGACTCCTCTGAGCTGAGCTCCCGCAGTGCCAAGGAGCACTCTCCAATTGTTTTTTTCCTGGGAGTCTGTGTCTGGATTTTAAATACCAATCTGACAGTCTGCAGGCTTTGCAGTTTAATAGCAAATACAAAAGTTTCCATAAATTCAATGTCCTAGAAAGAAAACCAGAGGGGTAGCATCACACTAAGAGAGTCACACCGAGCATGAAACATAGAAACCAAGGCTTCCTGGTCCTATAGCCACTGCTCCCGGATACTGTTTTACATTGCCATGGCAAAGTGTGCTTTTACAGTGGTAAGCCCCCACAAACTTGCCACATCGTTGTCACACCCTGTCAGGGACAAAGCTTGGGATTATTTTTCAATACCGTAACAAGTTGAGGCCATCTCTTCTGGAGCTTTGTAACAGCACACACACATTGTCATAGCAAATTCTGCTGTGGCCTTTTGCTTCAGTTTTTCCTGCTAATTTTATTTTCCTTCACCTTTCACTCACATTATGGGAGGTTGCTTTACCTTCCACCTCTTAATATCTCTTTACTGTCACTATCAGGAATCTTGTGCCATGCAACCAACTCTTACTACTTTGTAAGAGGAAACATGTAGAGAGGAAACATAAACTTTATCTCCCACTTTAGTGAAAGGCAGTAACGTCATCTACCTTCCCTGGGGTGAATGTGCACCTACAGGTATGCCCAGGCTTCCTCCAGTTCCCCACCATTGAGTTGCCAAGGCCAGCAGCTCATGGTTGAGTCCCTTCTGAGCACATCTGTCCTGTGGACTCGGAGAAAAGGAAGGCAACAGTACAATGAAAGAGAGGATATGGAGGAGGAATTGGAACAAGGCTTTTAATAGGATTTTGAGAAGTTAGGAAAAAAAAAATCCAACAGAAAGAAACCCCAGTAACCCTAATCTAGGCAACTACCACAGAAAACATGGCACAGGAGTGGATGTTTGGTCCATTAAAAAAATTCATTTATATTGCACTATTATTTTTTGAGGGAAAGAGATTTTTTGATGTCTTCCTTGCCTATACTTACATTGCAGCCTTCCTTGGCAGAAGATTTGAACTGCACTGGTTTGGGCAGTGTGAGAATTCCCTTGACATAGATACGAGGATTTTCCCCACAGCTAGGCGGCCAGCTCAGGTCTTTGCACTGCAATATTGAAAACACAGTCAGTTTAGACGACGTAAGGCTCTGGCCTTCAGACAACTTAAAAACTGAATCTTCTATACTGTTCTAGAATTATGTATAATTCCTGTAATATTTAATATAAATCAGAGCCAGTGTAATGATTGTGTCACTTTAGATCATTTAATAATTAATTTTCTCAACTAGAGAGTGAAACATTATTCAGTAGAATTGAATGATTTCACTATGTGGCAATTTGACAGCAGATAAATCATGAAATCCCTTATGTAGCATTTATGGCTTGATGCAGTTATGAGGTTTCTGACTACTCAGAGTTCCATTGCCTAAAAAATATTCGCAGTTCCTGGAAATGTATAAAACAGCTAGCAGAACGGTATCACATTAGCTAACAAAAAAGCCACAAGAAGCTATACATCCTCAAAGTGCTATTATGGTTCTGCCCTGAAGGAACTGTTAGATTTAAAGTCAGTTAAATGCTGCCTCTGCAGTTGCTCCTATTTGCTGCCTCCAAATTTCCACGGGAAAATTTTCACAGCAGGATCAGCATTTGACCAGCTCAGCTTTCTCATCTCTGCTGAACAGTTCCTCACTCCACAGTCAGAGCATACATATAGTAACATAAAGAGTTACATACTACTTTTCACTATTGACTGCAGCAGAACAGAGACTGCAACAGAAAAAAAAAAAAAAAAAAAAGGAGAGGAAGATACTTTGAATGAAGCTCAGTATTATATTTGATTGAACTTTGTTCATAGTAATACTTAGAAGTAATTTTCTTTTTCTCCTAAAAGCATTACTTAAAGTAACAGAGAGCCAAATTTAATGAGAATTAACACTAGGTACAGTAAAATAGCCATTTGAGTAAATAATAATCACGTTATTTATATTTGCTTACATGTAAAACTGTGATCCAAATCTGTTCTACAGAGGAAACATAACATAACTTCACATTCAGTCTTCCAAAGTCTCGTTCATCACCTGATAATGTAATAGTATCTATGGAAGAAAGCCAATTAGTGCTTTTAGAAGTAATGCAGTATCTTAAAAGTTCATTCCAGGAATAAAAAAAACTTATTACTAGGTGGACTGCATATCTTTGAAAACTTCCCTAAAAATAAGTTTGAAATACCTTAATACCTACATTTTATGGACAAAATATCCATGAAGTCCTATAGCCTGACCTTCTGCATAGCTGAAAGCCTTCACATTTACCTCAGTTATCTCCATTGAATTTAATAGCTTGTGTTGTACTCGAACAACTTCTAGAAAGAAAAAAATCATGTGCCTGAAACACCCAGAACACATTTATAATCTATCACTTCCCTTAGGTTAATCACCTTCACTGTTAAGTTTACACATTGGCCTGCTTTTTATCTTAGATTTCAATTTCAGCCTAGTAAACATTTTAGTATTATGCTTTTCTCCAAGTCAGAAGAGCCATTTAATATCCAGTATTTCTCTGTCATGACTAAAACTATGTCATTGTCCCCCAGCCTTCTTTTTGAGGAGACTGGGTGAAATTCTGACTTCCAGAAGGGGCTTTCATGGGGGCCTGACTCATTTTTGAGGGCTTATTTTGCAGTATCTCCACTTCTTCAGCATTCTTTCATAAATAAGGATACTAGGTTTGCATGCAATATTCTTACCTAATTCTGAGTGTAATATGGGTACTGGATTCCAGGCACTTCCCACAGAAAAATACCAATACATAAAAAAGAACTAGAGCTGTGACCAAGGTGCTGCATTCTATCCTAATAGAACATCTCTAATTTCTTACTCCACTGGGAGACCGCCCCCCCCCCCCCAAAAAAAAAAACATCAACAGCAGAGACAGCTTAATATTTCAAGTGCAAAGGGAAATACTCCATTGTGGCATCATCCAATTATTATTACTCAGCTGGCTTGAATTGAAACTGAATGTAATTCACTAATTAACTAAGGTTGAGACCCTGCCTACAAAAGGCAGGCCATTTCCTCCTGGCTGTGGAAGATGCAACAGCATCCTTGGAGCTGCAGCCCAGGCTGGTGAGCAACATCTGGGAACCCCGATGTGATACGTCTGAGAGACCCTGAGGACTGCGACTCCCTCGCCAGAGCCAGAGTAGCCAGGGCTGGAGCGAGAGTCCTTCGGTGAAGAAGGTAAAGCCGCAAGCCCTGACGTGATATTCACAGGAGGGAAGCGAGCTGGAGTCGGAATGAATGGACTGGGTCTCTGCTCACTGTAAAGCCTTTACTTTCCTCTAAAAACAAAAAACTGGTAAAACAAAAAGGGGGAATTATGGCATCCTATTATTATTACCCAGCTGGCATGAACTGAAACTGAATGTAATTAACTAATTAACTGAGGTTGAGACCCTGCCTACAAAAGGCGGGCCATTTCCTCCTGGTTGCAGAAGATGCAATGGCATCCTTGGAGCCACAGCCCAGGCTGGGGGGCAACATTCCATTACAAGGTAAACAAACAAAATATTACCCAGACTCCTGTTGCTGCCTTGCGAATCCTTCCTGGAAGAGGTACTGCTAGGTACACTGGAGAATGAATCATATCTCTGGAGGCAAAAAAAAAGTCACTTCATTCAGAGCAACAGATGCAAAAAGCCTGAGAGATTCCACCATCAGACAAGATATGATGAAAACAAAACAACAAGCAACTTCAAATAATTGTCTCATTCCCTACTAATCTCTTGATCCAGCAGCATGGAATTACTACTGTGATGTAAAGAGCTAATACAGGACACATATGGCCAGCACAGATTTTTTTTGCTCACTGCTACATATGCAACTTCATCTCTATATAAAAGATGATTATTT